GTTTTCCATATTTGAAAACTTTCGTAAACTGAAAATTTGAAATTTGAGAGTGCTTTTCCATTTTTTGAACATTTCCGTGTTTTTAACAGCAATATTATCTTTACGATAAGATTTGGGTTCATAAACACCCAAATTGAACAACAATTATTCGTGAAATTATCAAGGTTTTAGGGTTCTTCATGCATAAAAAAAAATCTGCCAATCTCTTCCATTCCCTCTTATTTATCCGCTAAATTGATTGATTATGGGTTCATTTTCAATCTATTGAAGTTATCTATAAAAGCTCTATGTTGATTCTCGTGTTTATCAAGTTTAATCACCTTAAATTTACGGTTTTAGGGTTCTTTGCTCAATTTTTCTTTTTTTTTGCCGAACTTCAATGTTTTGAAGCTTTTGACAGAAGCTTCAAGAGCCCTATACCGATCAATGGCTTTCTTTTGCCATTATCGACTGATTTCGTGCATCAAAGAGGTAACATCATTAGTTTGTAAAAACATCACCAATTCTATTATTTCTCTCTAATGACTCCATAGTTTTTTATGATTTTTAGTTTTGAAATTATCTTCAAAAGGCCTATACAGATTCGTGGTGTTTTTGTTCCAATATTGACTGATTTCGTGCGTCATAGAGCTAATATCGATGAACAATCAAAAAATTGTAAATTTTAATATTTTTCTCTAATTTATCAACAATAATGTTCTAATTGTGATTATTATTTTAAGATATTGAAATAACTTGAAAGCCCCTCTATTGCTTTGTGTTTTTTTGCTTCAATAAATGTCACTTTTGCTAGAGTGCGCTAACATTTTTATCTCTTTTGTGGTTTTCAGACCTCACGATATGTAAGATTTTTTTTTTTTTAAGAGTTATAAAAAGAGGAGCTCCAAAGAAAATAGTAATTGTGAAAAAATGAGGGGTCGTTTTTTTAGAATTCACGAGATGTAAGATTTTTTTTTTTTAAGAATTAAGATAAAAAAGAGTTCCAAAAAAAAATTGTAGCCCCCTTCCCTAATTGAACTCAATACCTCTTATAGACTCACGCAACATACTTTTTTTTTTTTTAAGTGAGTTATAGAAAAAAGTGCTCCAAAATAAATCCAAGCCATTAAGAATTATAGAGTTAAAAAATATATATTTTTACTAGAGTCATAGAAAAAGAACTCTAAAATAAAGCCAAGTAGATACCAAGGGTACTAACCAATTTGCCACACATAACTGTAGTACAATTGTGGCTGGCATTTTATATAGAGCTAGTCTTTATTTTCTCTAAAGAAAAAATAACCATGGTAACAATGGTGGCCTGCATTTTATGTAGAGCTAGTCTTTATAAAGCAAAAAAAGCCAAGTAAAGACCATGGGTACTAACGAATTTGCCACACATAACCATAGTAACAATCGTGGCCGGCATTTTATATAGAGCTAGTCTTTATTTGCTCTAAAGAAAAAATAATCATAGTAACAATGGTGGCCTACATTTTACGTTTTATATATTGCTATCTTTATTTGCTCTACAGAAAAAATAACCGTAGTAACAATGGTGGCCTCCATTTTATGTAGAGCTAGTCTTTTATAAAGCAAAAAAATAGTTTGGTGGCCGGCATTTTATATAGAGCTAGTCTTTATTTGCTCTAAAGAAAAAAAAATCATGGTAACAATGGTGGCCAGCATTTTATGTAGAGCTAGTCTTTATTTGCTCTAAACAAAAAATAATCGTAGTAACAATGGTGCCCTCCATTTTATGTAGAGCTAGTCTTTTATAAAGCAAAAAAGTAGTTTGGGGGTATTGGATCCCATGATTGCGGGTACAAGATAAGGATCGGCATACTAACACAAAATCAGTGCTTAATTTATAATTAAATTATGCTGCTTGTTTTATATATACACTTACTTTGCATGATTTTTTGTTTAAAAAATAAGAGCTTGACTCGCAGAGTACTTCGCCTCGGCCAGGGCCGAGTACCTTGATCGAGTCGATGTTTTGAACCTTGCATTGCATTATCAAAATTTGTGCACTAGCGAAGATACAGCACTGCAACCAAGTCACCTGGTTCAACTACTTATTTTAGAAGAAGATACATCAGAAGACAACTCTACATAGGAAAGTGTTGTCTCTTCGTGTAAAAAGAGGCCTTGGAACTTTATGATCTGTACATTCTTGTATATATTTAATCACTGTAAATTCTTGTATATATATTTTTCTAGCCTAGACAACATAAGTGTCTGCTTAGATGATCCATGTATTCATACCTAGATATCAGTTTCCTAGACCTATAGACTTTTTCATTTATTTCTTCATATAAACTCTTCTACACATTTGGTTAAATGTTTGCAGACATCTAATTTTAGCCTTATTTAGATAAACTTATGATTATTGCAACTTCCTATCGATTGTGAAAATTTGAGGTAAATTAGCCTAATATCACTTTTTTTAAATAAACATTCTTTTTAAATAATTATATATTATTTTTTCTAGTGTTGTATCACCTGATGTAGATATTCTTTTGTGAATTTCTTGAAGCTCGTGGTAGTTGGTGCTTTTGAACATCAAATATGCGACATAGTTGCCAGCATTTTTTCATAAAACTTTCAGATTTTATTTGTATAGATGTTTATATATGTTGATTCCCTACTTGCATGTATTTGTTCATTTATTGATCACTACATTACAAAAGCAGTCCACACACAAAACTTTTGTTTTCCACTTATGATTAATTTGTTTTGCATTAAGAAGGGCTCCTATGTTAAATCTGAAGCTGGATGATGTAAATGGGTTTCTTTCAACCTTGTGCTATGGTTATCTGTTAATTTAGGAGATGGACCCATTCACAATATCATGCCTCTACACTATTTTTTTTCTACAACACATTTTGAGACCAAACATTGGGCGTCCACTCCTCTCATAAACAACATCAGTGAAAAATATAAAAAAAATATTTTCAATAAAATAAAATAACCAAAATGTCCAACAAATTTTAGGGGCATTTTGATCATTGTATATCATCGAAAATACTTTTTAATATTTGTTTTAGGTGCTCCTTATTGAGATGATGGCACATACCAAATTTTATATTCATATAATTTGTAAAAAAACTTAAAAATAAAATATTATGAGGTATCGGACCTAGATCAAATGGTTAATGGCTTACTTGATCTAAATTGGACGGTTGTATACAATGTATATATATCTTCTATACAATAGGGTAAGTACATAACCTTTCCCTTAATTTTTATCAATTTATAGATATGTTGCACCATCAACTTAGAAATTACATCATAGGTAAATATTGGGATGATATTGTTTGAATCTCTCCCTCTCTCTCTCAACGAGGATCTTTCTCTCTCTCCCTATAAATATTCAATTGTGTATGTATGTTGCTATATCATAAATTATTATTAAATGTTCATTGAATGGCTTTTTTTTTATATATAGATTATGCAAACTTATCACATTTAGTTTAGTAATCTCGGATCCTATGGCTCTAAAACTTGTAAATGTTTGAGCCTATGTGAGGCCAGAGAATTTCATATGTTGAATGCATTATGTGTTGATATTGCTACTTGAACTTTAAATGAGAATACGACTTACCCTTTTTGTGATTTCAGTCGATGTTATACCACATTCAATCTAATCAATTATAGCTTTTCACGTATACTGCTATTATGCCGATATGTGACATCCATTGAGTAACTATTTTCTGGCAAATTTGATTTTCTTCTACTTCTTAACGGTGGCCAATATTCATCTCCATATGAATGTGGTATGCACTGATGGTAGTGAAATGAAGTTTTGATTGCTTAGTGAAATGTGGTATACGTTGATGTTATTCAATTCTCTATCTTGTTATGTTAACTAGTTAATCTGTAAGAAATATTCAGATTAGTATGCTCTATGTCTGCGTAGCTGGTCTACGATCTCTCGTTTCAGAACACAAAATATAACTTAAAGGTTAATTTCAGTGACTTTATTCCACTGCTAAAAACTTTCTTGAGTTACATGTTAATAACAGGAACTCTGAGAGGCTGAGGAATGGCCTAAAAGCGGAGTTCATACCTTTAACATGGGGTAAAAGAAAGTTGGCCTTTCAAACCAAAACCAAAATTACAGTTAACAAGCAAGATATTTTCGAACTCAAGGCAGGAGATATTTCTTCAGAAGTAAGTCTAGATACTCCTCGTTCATCCACCTCTGAACCTATGTTTTCAAAACAAGAACATCTTTTTGAAATTACCTATACTCCTGAGAAATTTTTTAAAACTCAATCTCAGTTGATCAATCCTTATCATGTTTATGATAAATCAAGCTTAAACTGGACTAAAAGGATTAAGAAACTTTGTGGAAAGAAAAACCCTGAGTCCATAAAAGAGTATGTCCAAGCCTCTTCTTTTGATCAACATCATATCCCAGCCACCCAGTCTAAACAATATGTTACAATAACCTACCACAACATCTTTTCCCTTTATGGTTAAAAGAAGGATATACCCATATCCATTTTGGAGCCATAAAATTGGCCTTAACCTTTCATGGCAGAAAAGGGATGGAAGCAGTAACAAGAATTGTTTTGTTAGATACAAGATTTCTTGAATACCAACATGCTTGTATAGGCACCATTCAAACAACCTTAAATGCAGGCACCATCTTTGTTACCTTCTTCCCAAATTTCAATATCCCTATAAAAGACCCCAATCTGAGTTCAGCATTCAAAGTCCAGTTACAAATAACTGGAACTAAACAAATTGAGACCTCTTCAGTAGCCACTCTCCACTACCAAATGGTCTATCGTTTACAAAACCATGCATTCGATATTGTTACACCTTTGACCCCTGAAACAGAAAACACTGCTTTGTTCATTAAAGTTGATAACAATTCTCAACCAGTTTGCCATTATGTCCCCAGACAAATATGCAGGGAAAGACAGATTGAATTAATACCCTCCACTTGGGTTACAAACTATGAGAATTTACAAGCTCAAAGCTAACCAGTGTTAAAAACTGAGTCCAGAATGACTAGATTGACAAATGGTCAAGTCCAAGTTGATTTCCTACCCTCCAGTCAGGAAAATCAGACCAGAGATATTTTTCCAACTCATTTCCAAGGAATGCTCGAAAAGGTTCCAATTCTTGCCTTTAACAAACTAGGCCAACCCGTTTATGAACAGAAAACCATAAATGGCCATAATTGGTTTGACTACTGCAACTGTGATTTTTGTCTTCAAACTGATGATGAAATGGAAATAAAGAAGAAGAAAGCACCAAAGAAAAAATCTTCTTCACAATCCTTGCACCAGAGATACCAGGATGGAGATCCTACAGTTGATCTCTTAGGAGAAAGTTCAGGTAAGTGGGATTATTATGTGACTTATGGTACTTCTCCCAAATCAGTCCCACAATCTTCTCCTATCATTTCCACTTGATGGGATGATAAAGATGATGATTCCAATTCCAAAGTACAAGACAGTTGTTTCATGTTTGACCCTTCCAATTCAAATTATGCAGATAGTTTTTCTCCTCTTCGTGATTCTGAAAAAATACAAGAAAATGAAAAGCATGTTTGGAAAATAAAAACCCCTCCCGCAAGAGACTCATCTGGTACTTCTAAATAGATTTCATCTGCTGAAGCAAGCCTAAACTGGCAAGCTGAGAATGCTAAGTTTCAAAATTTGGCATTACTGCGACTAGAAACTATCCAAAATTCTATGAAAGCTCTGTTGGAAACTACCCAGAACACTTTTTCGTCTCACACCCAAGGGTTGACATGCATAATTATAGAATTGAAAGAAAAAATTCAGCTGTTACATGAAGAACTTTTACAAATATTGTATTGTGTAAAAGACATGCATGAACAATCTTATTTGTTGTCCGTCAAAGGGAAAGAAAAAGCATTTTTGGAGAAACAATTACAAAGCCTTGAAAAGGACTATTGGATGAAATCCCAATATCAATCTCCATACCAAACCTCATATCAACCTTTGCCAACCTTTTCTCCTCAACCAAGTTATCCAACCTTGAGAAACCTAGATCATTTTCCACCAACAAGAACTTTGTATCCCCCTACTAGAATTATTCACTCTAGACCTTTTGGACTAAGATCCTATAATCCTTATGAAGATGAAAGAAGATTTCCAAAAGAAATGTTTTTCCCCAATTAAGAAAACCACAACCTAGACCAGAACCTAGTCCTTCCCAAACCAAAAAACCAAACCAGACATCTCCTACAGATAAGCCTCCCAAACAAGAAACCCAGATGTTCCAACCCTCAGAAATTGATTCTGATATAGTTGCCTCATCCACTTCTCGTTCCATATAGCTACCAGAACCCGAACCTCTTGGTGATATGAGCACCTTCTTAAAGACTCTTACCAAACCCTCTGAGATAAACCTTCATTCTGAAACCCAGTCTTCCTCTGACTCATTATCAGAAACTTCTACACCTACAACATTGTCTGAAACTTCTGATCTTCTGTACATGATGAACCAACCAGAAGCTGACCCTCCAGAAGAACCTATGGAACCAGACCTAGATCCCATACCTACAGAAGAATTTAAACTTCCCAATATTCCACTCCCAACCTATGGAGATTCCTCAAAAGGCTTTACTATAGATGACATCCCTCCTTCGAAATGGATAGACAGATTCAAAGAGATCCAAGGATAGATGTATGATGAAATATTAAATCATGCAAATACTTTGACCAACACAATTGCGAAAGTCATTGTTGGTTTTCGTGGAAGACTATTTGACTGGTATGTCAGCCTTGGAGAATACAGGCAAACTCAATTAAGAAAAAGTCAGTCCATCATTGAATTTTTCAGCTATCTCATTGCTGAATTCACAGGAACAGTCAGACATGAACAAATTACTGCAAGAGAAGAATTTTTCCAACTTAAATGCTGTTCTTTCAAACGGCATGATCTGAAAAACATTTTATGGAAATGAACAAAAGATACCATAAGATTGGAGGAATCGATGATGTTAATCTCAAGCAATATTATTTAGAATCTATTCCTCCTACTTTGGGCAAAGAAGCCACCAAGACAATGGAAAACCAAGGACTCACAATTCAAACTGTTAGTTTTGGAGAAATTTATCAGTTTGTTTTACATGCTTTAGAACGGTTATGTTACCAAGTAGAATTTGTCAAGCAAGTGGAGAAAAACAAGTTTCTTCTTGGCAAATCGTGTGACAAACCGTATTTGAAGATTAAATGTGACACTGAGAAGCATTGTACATGTCCTTCTCTTAGAAGAAAAGCAAAACAAAAATATGGCCATACCATGGACCAAAAGAAGAAGAAGAAAAAATTCAAAACTTATAAATTTGTTCGACGATCCAAATTTCGAAAGCATCGAACCAAAGGAGACCGATGTTATGTTTGCAGTCAAAAAGGATATTTTGCAAAGAATTGTCCCAACCAACAGAAAAAGAAGAAGCTCATCCATCTTCTTTCACAGGTACTAGACGAATCTGTTAAGGATGATTTGGAATCGGAATTTTCGCTGGATGATGAACACAATGATGAGACTTTGATCTCAATCTCCTATACAGTGGACTCTGAGCTTAATGAAATCTCAAATTCAGTCATACTTGAGGTATTTTGTCCTTGTCTTTGACCTGTTCTAAGGTTAAAGGTTGATCTAGACTGGCTATCCATGGGAGTGTGAGGTTTCTATAGTGCAGTCCTTTGGAAGTCCAGTGCAATTTGACCTGGTGTAGTACATCAAATCCTATCAGGAGGTCTTTGTTGGGTAAAAATGATCCTAAGAGTCTATGTTGGATGACAACTTTTGGGAAAACTTTTATGAGAAGAGGTTTGCTGATCTGGGTGATGGTAAACTTTTCTCCATTGGCAGCTCTGAAGGACTGGGTGCAGTTTTCCTAGAATTGTTTAGGTAGCAGATCCGGTTTTAATATGCTTGCAGATGCGCCAGTGTCAAAAAAGGCAAGGAGGGTAAGTGGTTTGGAATAGTGTTCATGCAAGAGTTGAACCATGGCTATTGGGGTTGGTTGAGAGAGTGAATAGGAGTCAGCAGGTATTTGGTCAAGAGGTTCAGGGGAATATTTAGGGGGACAAAATACCTCAGGTATGACTGAATTTGAGATTTCATTAAGCTCAGAGTCCATTGTATAGGAGATTGAGATCAAAGTCTCATCATTGTGTTCATCATTCAGCGAAAATACCGATTCCAAATCATCATTAACAGATTCGTCTGGTACCTGTGAAAGAAGATGGATGAGCTTCTTCTTTTTCTGTTGGTTGGGACAATTCTTTGCAAGATGTCCTTTTTTACCGCAAACATAACATCGGTCTCCTTTGGTTCGATGCTTTCGAAATTTGGATCGTCGAACAAATTTATAAGTTTTGAATTTTTTCTTCTTCTTCTTGTGGTCCATGGTATGGCCATATTTCTGTTTTGCTTTTCTTCCAAGAGAAGGACATGTACAATGCTTCTCAGTGTCACATTTAATCTTTAAATTTGGCTTGTCACATGATTTGCCAAGAAGATACTTGTTTTTCTCCATTTGCTTGACAAATTCTACTTGGTTACATAACCGTTCTAAAGCATGTAAAACAAACTGATAAATTTCTCCAAAACTAACAGTTTGAATTGTGAGTCCTTGGTTTTCCATTGTCTTGGTGGCTTCTTTGCCCAAAGTAGGAGGAATAGATTCTAAATAATATTGCTTGAGATTAACATCATCGATTCCTCCAATCTTATGGTATCTTTTGTTCATTTCCATAAAATGTTTTTCCAGATCATGCCGTTTGAAAGAACAACATTTAAGTTGGAAAAATTCTTCTCTTGCAGTAATTTGTTCATGTCTGACTGTTCCTGTGAATTCAGCAATGAGATAGCTGAAAAATTCAATGATGGACTGACTTTTTCTTAATTGAGTTTGCCTGTATTCTCCAAGGCTGACATACCAGTCAAATAGTCTTCCACGAAAACGAACAATGACTTTTGCAATTGTGTTGGTCAAAGTATTTGCAAGATTTAACATTTCAGCATGCATCCATCCTTGGATCTCTTTGAATCTGTCTATCCATTTCGAAGGAGGGATGTCATCTATAGTAAAGCCTTTTGAGGAATCTCCATGGGTTGGGAGTGGAATATTGGGAAGTCTAAATTCTTCTGTAGGTATGGGATCTAGGTCTGGTTCCATAGGTTCTTCTGGAGGGTCAGCTTCTGGTTGGTTCATCATGTACAGAGGATCAGAAGTATCAGAAGTTTCAGACAATGTTGTAGGTGTAGAAGTTTCTGATAATGAGTCAGAGGAAGACTAGGTTTCAGAATGAAGGTTTATCTCAGAGGGTTTGGTAAGATTCTTTAAGAAGGTGCTCATATCACCAAGAGGTTCGGGTTCCGGTAGCTGTATGGAACGAGAAGTGGATGAGGCAACTATATCAGAATCAATTTCTGAGGGTTGGAACATCTGGGTTTCTTGTTTGGGAGGCTTATCTGTAGGAGATGTCTGGTTTGGTTTTTTGGTTTGGGAAGGACTAGGTTCTGGTCTAGGTTGTGGTTTTCTTAATTGGGGAAAGAACATTTCTTTTGGAAATCTTCTTTCAACTTCATAAGGATTATAGGATCTTAGTCCAAAAGGTCTAGGGTGAATAATTCTAGCAGGGGGATACAAAGTTCTTGTTAGTGGAAAATGATCTGGGTTTCCCAAGGTTGGATAACTTGGTTGAGGAGAAAAGGTTGGCAAAGGTTGATATGGGGTTTGGTATGGAGATTGATATTAGGATTTCATTCAATAGTCATTTTCAAAGCTTTGTAATTGTTTTTCCAAAAATGCTTTTTCTTTCCCTTTGACGGACAATAAATAAGATTGTTCATGTATGTCTTTTACACAATACAATATTTGCAAAAGTTCTTCATTTAACAGCTGAATTTTTTCTTTCAATTATATAATTATGCGTGTCAACCCTTGGGTGTGAGACGAAAAAGTGTTCTAGGTAGTTTCCAACTGGGCTTTCATAGAATTTTGGGTAGTTTCTAGTCGCAGTAATGCCAAATTTTGAAACTTAGCATTCTCAGCTTGCCAGTTTAGGCTTGCTTCAATAGATGAAATCTGTTTAGAAGTACTAGAAGAGTCTCTTGCCAGAGGGGTTTTTATTTTCCAAACATGATTTTCATTTTCTTGTATTTTTTCAAAATCACAAAGAGGAGAAAAACTATCTGCATAATTTGAGCTGGAAGGGTCAAATATTAAACAGTTGTTTTGTACTTTGGAATTGGAATCATCATCTTTATCATCCCATCCAGTGGAAATGATAGGAGAAGATTGTGGGACTGATTTGGGAGAAGTACCATAAGTCACATAATAATCACACTTCCTGAACTTTCTCCTAAGAGATCAACTGTAGGATCTCCATCCTGGTATCTCTGGTGCAAGGATTGTGAAGAAGATTTTTTCTTTGGTGCTTTCTTCTTCTTTATTTCCATTTCATCATCAGTTTGAAGGCAAGAATCACAGTTGCAGCAGTCAAACCAATTATGGCCATCTATGGTTTTCTGTTCATAAACAGGTTGGCCTAGTTTGTTAAAGGCAAGAATTGGAACCTTTTCGAGCATTCCTTGGAAATGAGTTGGAAAAATATCTCTGGTCTGATTTTCCTGACTGGAGGGTAGGAAATCAACTTGGACCTGACCATTTGTCAAGCTCTAACACTGGTTGGCTTTGAGCTTGTAAATTCTCATAATTTGTAACCCAAGTGGAGGGTATTAATTCAATCTGTCTTTCCCTGCATATTTGTCTGGGGACATAATGGCAAACTGGCTGAGAATTGTTATCAACTTTAATGAACAAAGCAGTGTTGTCTGTTTCAGGGGTCAAAGGTGTAACAATATCGATTGCATGGTTTTGTAAATGATAGACCATTTGGTAGTGGAGAGTGGCTACTGAAGAGGTCTCAATTTGTTTAGTTCCAGTTATTTGTAACTAAACTTTGAATGCTGAACTCAGATTGGGGTCTTTTATAGGGATATTGAAATTTAGGAAGAAGGTAACAAAGATGGTGCCTGCATTTAAGGTTGTTTGAATGGTGCCTATACAAGCATGTTGGTATTCAAGAAATCTTGTATCTAACAAAGCAATTCTTGTTACTGCTTCCATCCTTTTTCTGCCATGAAAGGTTAAGGCCAATTTTATGGCTCCAAAATGGATATGGGTATATCCTTCTTTTAACCATAAAGGGAAAAGATGTTTTGGTAGGTTTATTGTAACATATTGTTCAGACTGGGTGGCTGGGATATGATGTTGATCAAAAGAAGAGGCTTGGACATACTCTTTTATGGACTCAGGGTTTTTCTTTCCACAAAGTTTCTTAATCCTTTTAGTCCAGTTTAAGCTTGATTTATCATAAACATGATAAGGATTGATCAATTGAGATTGAGTTTTAGAAAATTTCTCAGGAGTATAGGTCATTTCAAAAAGATGTTCTTGTTTTGAAAACATAGGTTCAGAGGTGGATGAACGAGGAGTATCTAGACTTACTTCTGAAGAAATATCTCCTGCCATGAGTTCGAAAATATCTTGCTTGTTAACTGTAATTTTGGTTTTGGTTTGAAAGGCCAACTTTCTTTTACCCCATGTTAAAGGTATGATCTCCGCTTTTAGGCCATTCCTCAGCCTCTCAGAGTTCCTGTTATTAACATGTAACTCAAGAAAGTTTTTAGCAGTGGAATAAAGTCACTGAAATTAACCTTTAAGTTATATTTTGTGTTCTGATACGAGAGATCGTAGACCAGCTACGCAGACGTAGAGCATACTAATCTGAATATTTCTTACAGATTAACCAGTTAATGTGGTTTTGATGCTAGCGAAATGTGGTATGCGCTGATATTATTGAAATGAGGAATTGATTGTTTTGATGTTAGGCGTTAGTGGTATGCACTAATGTTCATTAAATGAGGTTTTGATTGTCTCGTATCGTCATCGCAATATGATTTATTGCTCCTACACACATTTTCCAAATTCGTAGGTGTCAATCTAATTGCCTAAAAGTATAGGCATCAAACGATGTGCGGAGCACGTGCCCCGCTAGGATTATTTGATTATTTAACTTTTTTTGATGATTTCTAAATATTTGTAGCTGTTTTTTTTTTTAAAAAGGTATGATTTTCAATAAATTACTTTAAATGAAAGGAAAAATTAAATATGGATTTCTGTTACTATCAAAATACCTAAAACTTTCCATTATTACTCATATTTATGTTTCCTTTTTATTCCGAACTTTTTTTTTTTTTTAAATACCCAATTGTACTTTTCGGTTTTTCAAGAACCAAAATGGATTTGAATTTGATTTTTAAAAAACCGAAATGGTCTCGGATTTGGTTTTCGAAAAACCGAATAGCAGAGCCTCGATTCTCTAAGCATTTTTTTGTATTCTCTCTTTCATCGTTCACACAACATATTTCGATATTCTCTCTCTTCATCGTTCACACAACATATTTCGATATTCTCTCTCTTTACCTCCGATTTATGTTTCGATAGTACTTTCCGTGTCATGTCAATCCATGTAAGCTCCCTTGTAATGGTTTTTGGGGGTGGCTTTGGTGGAGTCGGCGGGCTTGGAGGCCTGTGCATGTGCCCATCCAATCCATGGTAACCTAGAACTAGTGAACCATGGAGGCTAGAATGGATCTTATTGACGCCATTAGAAGAAAACTTGGTAGAATTGGGGTCTTCTTTCCATAAACAAAACATGAGACAGAGCTTCACGTATGCAACGGAAGCAAATTAAAACTAGATTTCTCCATGATGGGCAGAAACGCTAGCATATTTAGGGTTTCTCCCTCTCCTTGTCAGAAAACGATTAGGACAACTTTTCAGAGGAACGCGGTTATCTGTGATGTTTTTGGCTTCGCTGCTTGTTAATTTTTCTGATATGAACTTTGCCGTTAATGTGACAGGAGAGCCGGGTTTTTTTTTTTGTTTTTTTTGTTTTTAATTTACAATGTAGAGCTGAATCATTTGGAGATAATTAGCAAAAACCAGACAAAACTAACTGGTGGATGTTGGGTTTTGGAGAGAGAAAGAAACTAGTTAGGCATGTTTGGGTTTTGAACGATTAATCTTGAGAGAGACTTTTAGTTGGGCAAGTGAGTTTCGAACATTCTTGAGAAAGAGAGACCCCATGATCTAGAAACTAAAAGGGCAAAGCATAGAGAGAGAATCATTGAGGAGAGAGCAGTAGAGAAAGAATACGATTCGAGCACAACGGATCATTAAAACCAGAGATGTGAGCTGCTCTTTTAAAAACCAAAACCCTAAATTCAAGAATGAAACAAGAGAGAATGCCAAAATTTGAGTGTGACACGTAGATAATTCAGCCCTTGTCGGTTTTTCAAAAACCCAATTTGGACCCATTTTAATTTTTGAAAAATAAAAAAATAGGCAATTCCGTTATTTTTTTTTAATCATTATGCAATCCAAATAAAAAAAGTGATATATGAGTAAGAATGGAAATTTTTAAATATTTTGATAATAAAAGAAAATAAAACAAATATTTACTTAATTTTTCCTAAATGAAATGAAAGCAAAGCTATGTACAAAACTTCTAATCAATTTATTTCCTATAACATTGTAATAATAACAAAAAGTTGCAGTTTCTATAAGGTTGCAACCTTAAACAATCCAATTAAGGTGCACTTTAAAATTTTATTATAATATATAATTTTATTGTAAAAAATACTTAGTATTATCTTAAAATCTATTTTCATACCTAATTAAAAAAATTTAAATTTAAAAAATGTTTAAAATCAAGTAGATCTATAAATATATGAAAATCTTGAAAATTGACTGTCTAGATAATATATTGCAAAATGTATTATTTTCGAGACTCAAAAACTTTTTTTTTTATATTCATGACATTGAGATGATCGATTAGAGGGTTTTTTAAACATTAAAATAATATTTCTGATAGATTTTTGAGGTGCATATGTGATTCTACATTTCAAAGTTGCAATTTTATATAAATTTTCCCGTAACAAAATATACTAGATTTAATTCCACTGAAAAGATGAATTATCCGTGATGACCAATACATCGGAGCAGGCCCTTATAAATGATAATTGAATAGGTATGGTTATCAAGTAATCAAACTCTCGAACATATGCATGCCTATATCTCATATCTTTGTAGGCTTTACAATGTATAATATTTACAAAGCAGCTGGAGTGCAGAAACAGGGCGCCCTAAGAACCATTACTGATCTATCGAAGCCGCCCACCACTCTCAAATTGAGAGAAAGAGAAGAGAGAGAGAGCTTTTCGTTCTGAAAGTTTTTATGACTCATCGCCATCATGGTTCAAAACAAGCATCAGAAATCCAAACCGAAAAAACAGCCAAAAGTAAGTCCTCTTTTTATTAAGTTGTATGTGTGTATATATAGCTACTTGTACTTTTTTCTTGGCGTTAATTGCCTGCAATTTTGTTATCTTTCCAAGTATCTTCACATCCCTTACAGAAAGGGTCATACTTCTCGAGAGGTAATTGCGATGCATTTTGTAAATTGAATTAATTGGGTTATACTCCTCTTACTTCTGAACCCTGTTTAGCTATACCCCACTTTGACTCAGCCGAGGCACGAGGCCGTGGTCGACACCGAGGCCTGAGCCTAAAAATTGCTTTTGAATTCAGTGTTGATTTGGTTAACAATGGTAACTATCAATCTCACAAGAAAGAAAGAGTTAACTGACATAATGTCCATGGTTTATATGTTTGAAATAATGAATGCTAGTTGCAATTATTCATGACCATGACTTATGTCCTAAGAGTAATTAGAAGTGCTTTCTCTGTCTATCATGGGATCTGAACTTCCCTAAAATAGGAATAAAATTATTGAGATTTGCGTTAGAATATTTGAAAGGCGGTTTATCAGTTGCAGAATTGCGTTTTATACAAACTATAGGTACTTGCGGGAATTATGGGGATATCCAAGTTGGTTGGTTGTGAACATGGCATCTGAAGTATCACTCTTATTTCAACGGGAATCCTCCAAATCTGAAGATGGATTTAAGGATTCTCCTTCCTTACTCTTGAATTGAGAAAGAATTTTTGAAAATTCAAGGGATAGTTAGAATAAATTTAGAGAACTTTTACAAGATTTTAAATAGAAAGAGAAGTTCACAGGCAAGTGATTCAAATCATGTGTCTTAATCGGTAGCTTTCTGGTGCGTCGAGAAGTAAAAGGAATTTTTTTTTTCAATCATTGGTGAGGATGACTATGGGGCTGTGGCAGAATACTACCTGTCACTGACTTGAGTTTGTGCTCTTTCTATGGAGATCAGAAACGTTAAGAGAAGTTGAGTGCAGCAGTTTTCTGAAAATAAATTTCAATGCACATAGGTTTTAATTGGATCTTTCATGAAATGACCAATTATATTGGGGTGGATTGTCATGTCATATGGCCAATATGTAAAAGGTACACTCAAAACTCCTTTTTTTTCTTTGAAAATACAACAAGCACTTTACATGAAGAGTGATTACCTTATTGATAATTTGATCTTGAAAGAGTGGGCAAAGTCAGTTTAGCCTGTGAGCCAGCTTGATCGCTTAATCAACTCGGGGGGAAGCATTATTGAAACTCATTCAGTGTATATATTTTTTGTTTTGGGCAATTGTTTTCCTTCTACTTTTACATTTCCTTCCACAGCCTTAACTGAACAGGATATGTATGTCTAGTTTCATATAACGAGCTAATTGTTTCTCTCTTGAACTGATTTTACAAATAATTTGTCCACGCTGTTTGTGATTGTTAGGATTACTTGTTGGCTAGAGGTGGTACGAGCAGAGCAGAGGGGAGAATGTTCAAATTTTCTCCCTCTCCTTTTGCAATTTAACTGTATGAAAGTGCAAGTCCAGTCTATCCTGTCTTGAATTTTGTCTCTATTGTAAAAATATGAGAGGGTTTCTCATCCATGCATGATATAATTGATCTACGATTTCATGGTATTGACATTTGTTTGTTAGAATGGAGATAATGGGAGATGTCTGAAAATTGCGGCTGCACAATGGAAACACTCACTTATTTGTTAATATCCCACGAAATACAAATGATTTTGAGATGAAATTTTTTAGTACACAATCTAGACTCAAAGGCCTATTAATCGATATTTCACTAAAATCTGATGTAGCATCATCAAGAAGGAGCACACCTAAGTTCCCTATTTTTTGCTGCCTGCGAAACAATCATCATCATCATTTTAGCCTTTTCTCAATTAATTGGGGTTGGTTATATGAATCCCGATTATCCATTTTGCTCTATTAAAGGCCATATCTTCAGTGAGGCCATAAGTCCCCATATCCCTGCAAAACAAATACAAAAAATAACCCCAAGTTTTAGAGCGAGAAACTGACATAGCATGCTGTTGGGCAGTATGAAATCTTTCTGAAGTTTCAAGCCCACATAGAAGGAGGTTCAAGGCAGATTCTATGTCGACGTAAGGTACTATCCAGGGGTTACACTGTCCTTATGCTCATAAAGTGGGTTCACCGCAACAATAGATGACTTTTAGGAAGTCCCTTTTCCTTCTTTATTTGTCTTGGATACAAAAGACAACTAGTACCTTCTTGCTTCTCCCAAGACAAGTAGTACCTTCTTTATTTGTCTTGGATACAAAAGACAAGTAGTACCTTCTTGCTTCATGCCAGTGACGCTTGGCCAACATAACCTACCTGCCTCTCATTATACTAGCAATCATTGACTCTTTCGAATGGGATAACCAGTTCTGGATCAGCCACTTTGGCAGGGATCTTTTCTTGTTTTGAGGACCAAAATGTGAAGGAGCTCAAGTGCTTGTGTGTTGGGAGTTGAGTTTGCCTTTGATTTCACCAATAGGAGCTTTTAGAGGTGGGAGCAGACTTATGTGCAAAATTCCACTTTTATATATATCGAACAGAAGAATAGTTCTCGCTCTCAAAGGTGGGAGGAGGAAGTCTCTACTGTATAAGCTATAATAAATGAAAAGTGGAAATTCCTACCAAAATGCCCTAAAAAGTCTTTCATCCTAGTGGGAGTAGCACCATTGTTGTTTATATACTTATCTTGGAATTCAAACGGTGTGTTATGTCCTACGTCTGGCAGTGGGAGCTGCTTCCCTCTGTGAAACCTGCTTATTAACGACACAATGCTTACGTGCACTTCAAAAGGGGCAATAACTACTCTGATGGGGGCAGAATTATTTGCTATTTGTGTAGAACCAAATGGAGTCATACTGAGCACTCCCACCTCTAAGACCGTGACTTTGTACTTGTAACCCCGATTTGGGCGAATGCCCACTCGTGGGAAAGCTATCGGCAGATCTACAGTGTTAACACCATCTGGGGTAGTTTTCCCTATAAGAAAAGCACAAGGAGGCCTCTAAAGACCATAAAAAATTTTCATTGTTCGCTGTGAGAAAAAAAAACAAATAACACATAATACCTAGTATCTCTAGGGTGGCTGCTGGTCCGAACCATTCCACAATTAGTTGCAAACCAAGCAAATGAAAGGCGCATTTAACATAAGGAAACAGGTGTATGTTGATGGATCTCAATTCTTTGTTACTCAGACTTTCACTGAGGGCTTGCACTTATCTAGTTTTTGACCATTCAGAAAATCAATGGTCCTTTTATATGTTTATGTATGGCTCAATTGGAGTTTATTGATTTTGATCTTCTGTTGCTTTTGAGAGCATATCATGTGTGAGACATTTTAAAGTCTTACATTAAAGGTGTAAATTTTCAATAGTTGTCGGTGTAACAGGTTGTTAAAAATCAGTTATGTCAATTACAACTTAATTGTTAAAAATCAGTTATGTCAATTACAACTTAATTAGTCAGCATAAATGTTTTATTACTTTGTACATTAGTCTACTACTTTCTATGCATTGGAAAAAGAAGACCATTCTTCATGTATAGAGAATATGTATCCACATTTAATTGTACTGGTTATTTTTATATGATTATGTTGGTTTGGACCACTTACAGTAATTGTTTCGTGGGCAGGTCGTGAAGCATGGCAAACACACTGATCTTACTCATTTCAAATCTCAGCTAGATGCACTTGGTCTGAAGATTATTCAAGTGACTTCTGATGGGAATTGTTTATTTCGGTATGTTTTTGTGAGATGTTTGTTGCGTACTTAACACCGATAAAGAAATCGAACAAGATGTTTGTGGTACTTTGTCTAATTGACAAGGTTGACTTCCTTTGACTGAGGACTCCCTTCTCCACGTTGTCAGAGCTCTTGCAGATCAATTAGAAGGCAATGAAGAAGAGCATCACAAGTATCGAGTTTTGGTGGTTGACCACATAACTGTATGGACTGTATCTCAATATTTTTTTTGAATGTTAAACTTAAGACTGTTATGTCATTTTTTTGATAACTCTTGCTGTATGCTCATTGGGATGGGAAATCAGAGTTAATTGATACGTTTTAGTTTTAATGGTCTTTTGAGTTCCTATTGTATGTTGTCCTCTTGAGTAGAATGTCGGACTAGAATTCTTGTAACCAACCCCAAATAGTTGGGAAAAGGCTATGATGATGATGATGATGATTGTATGTTGCCCTCTTGCAATTGCTGCCATGTAATGATTAGCCACCAAATTTTTCTTGTTTATTTTTTTCCACAGTTGTTGAATAATATTGGAGAAAGAAAATGCTAAGATGCATTTGGGATGCAAAAATTAGGATTTATTCTGAAAAGGAATGTGGTCATGGAGGATAAAATGACCCCTGTGAAGAGAGGACTCCCTCCCTACTCTATCCTGAGCCACGGTGGCACCATGCATTTAGCTTCTCTAAGCACATCATTGTAAGACATTGAGAACTCCTCTCTGACATTATTTGATATCTATTGATTTTTTGCCTACAATTCCATCTAGCAAGGTTGATTGAACTACCCTCTACAACTTCCATTTTACCTTTGCATCAATGGAGCACAAGTGCCTACCAGCTGTGCAAGGCTCCTAAGGCTTCTGCCATAACCATCTTTAGTAAAACCCTGTACCACGTACATGCTTGGATTCCCAAAGAATTTCCATTACATTTAAGCTTGAACATCTTAGAGGGTTCTCCAACAGCTGATGAAAATATTTTGATGAGTCAGGGTCAATAGAATCATGGAGTCCATGTTGCAATGTGTCTGTAGTAACTTGTACATAGGCTTTAAAAGACCATTTCAACAGTCTTTTTCAGATGTCCCAACCCTTTTCATTCAATGTTTTGAACCCGAACTTTCCCTTGGACTCATCAGGTCCCTAAGGCGAGTAGGCTCTGAGTTCTGAGTCATCTCGCCAAGTCTTATCGTTTGGAACTCACATATTTCTCAAAAATATTCACTATTCTTTTTAAGACTTGGGCAGACTCACATAAAATCAGTACAGACTTGGACGTATTTGTATAAGACATGGATCAATTTGGTGAGTTTCATCATTTTCTTTAGTGGGGAGAGCTTGGGGTTGTTTTGGAATTGGCACCTTGCCAGTTTTAGTTGATTTGGGCAAATCGGAGTCCAACTAGCCAACTTATTAGATTCCTTTTAGGGGAGAATGGCCTGGTCATTAAGCTTGATTGGAAAAAAGTTTATGACTCTGTTGATTGAAGTCTCCTTGACGAGATTCAATCTCGTATGGGATTCAGAAGTAATGGAGATCCTAGGTCATGGGATGCAGCTCTAAACTCTATTTCTCTGTCCTTATCAACAGCTCCCTGCTGGGCTTCTTCTCTACATTTAGAGACCTTGACAGGGAGACCCTCTCTCCCCTTTTTCTTTCAACCTTATTGGGGTACTTTTCACCAAATCCATTATCAGACTCTTTGATCGTGGAACCCTCAAGGGTTTCCAAACCGCCCCTTTTAGACCCATCCTTACCCACCTCCTCTATGCCGATGACACCCTTGTTTTCTTAGATGCCGAGACCCCCCAGGTTGATAGTCTCTAGATCTTCCTTAAGTGTTTTGAAGCGGCCATTGACATGACGGTTAATCTCTCTAAGACCAAAATGTTAGGTATTAGGGTTAACAACGCTGACATTACCTTCCTTGCCCAGTGTCTTAGGTTCGATGTTGATTCCCTCCCCTCTACATACTTGGGCCTTCCTCTTTTTTGGGTGAGTCAGTGGGGAGAGGGCCCCTACCCTGGTAAGAATTGAGCCTAGGATGTAGCATTTCAAATCATCAAGCGGTAACCAATTAAGCATGTGCCTTCCTCTTTGTTTAGGGAAACTCAGGAAACAACTATGGGACAACCTAATAGAAAAATTCACTTGGAAGTTTGCTAGTTGGGATTCGTATAGGGATAGAATCATCCTCACTAATGCCACCCTCGCCAACATCCCCATTTATCAGATGTCCATTTTCAAAATCCTTGTCTCAGTGGTTAATCGCCTAGAGAAATTCATGAGAGACTTTCTTTGGTGTGGTACCTCTGAAGACTTCAAATTCCATCTAGTTTCTTGGGAAATGATCTACTACCCTAAAACATTTGGTGTCATGCTCTTCTTGGTAAATGTTGATTGCATTTCACTTACCCCCACCCTCTCCTTTGGAAATCCATTGTCCTAGCTAAATATGGACTCGATGACAATGGATGGTTACCCCGTTCCCCTATCTTTTGAGCTTATGTAGCATGGAAATCTGTCTCCTCTACAAAATCCTATTTCCTCGACCAAACTAGATTCAAATTTGGAAATGGCCACAAAATAAGATTCTGGAAAGATCTTTGGTTAGGAGACCAACCTTTCTACCACATTTTCCTCCCTCTGTTTCTCCTTGCATCTGATCAAGATGTCCTCATTACCCAATACATTGAGCGTAGAGGTAGCTCTCTCACCTGGACTCCCATTTTTAAAAGGAACCTCCTTGACCCTGACTGTCATGTCCTAAGCTCCCTCCTTCAGCTCCTAAATCCTATTTCCCCACCATTCCCACCCCCCCCGCCCCCTCTTCCCCCTCCCCTTCCCCTTTCCACGGAGGATTCTTTAATTTGGGCTCCAAACCTTTGGCAGCTTCTTTATATGCTTGCCTCCTCCCTAACTTAAATCCTTTCCCTCTCCTAAACAAAATATGTTCCATGCCAATTCCTCCTAAGGTCCAGGCCTTCCTGTGGACTCTTTGCCAATGAAAGGTTCTTACTTTGGACCAACTCCAGAAGAGGGGCTTCTCCCCTCCTAACTGTTGCATTCTATGCTTTCAAGATGAGGACAATATACCTCATCTCTTCATCCATTGGCCCTTTCCACTACCCTTTGGTCCAATATCCTTCAACACTTTGACCTGCTTTGGGCTACTCCTCAAGACAGCCCTGACCTTTTTCGAGCTTTCTTTTCGCCACCTTTCCCCGCTAATGCCACAAAGCTTTGGCGTATAGCTTTTACAACTGTGCTTTGGATGGTTTGGCTTGAGAGAAATGCAAGTACCTTTAGAGGAATAGCAAAATCTCTCCCCTTTATCGAAAAATCTCTAATTTCTCTATTCTCCGTTTGGGTCTCTATTATCCCTCCCTTCTCTAGTATTCCAGTTTCGTTTTTATGTGGTAGTTGGCTTATTTCAATTTACAAACCTATGTTCCTTGTATTAAAGTCTTTTGGAGTAAGCCCCCTGAGGGTACCCTCACGCTTAATGCGGACGGTTCATCCTTTGGTGACCCTGGCCTCTCAAGTTATGGTGGTACCCTCGCTAATTTGGAAGGCATTTTCTGCACCTTTTCGGGCCCCTTAGGAGTTATAGATTCCACCCTTTGCAGAAACAAGGGCCTTGTTGGAAGGACTCAAGAAATGCGCACCACATGCCACAAAATTCTCAGCTGTTCAAATAGAGTGTAATCACTAAGTGTGATTAGATGGGCCTCCAAGCAAACATCTCCACCATGGAGACTGACTTCCCTCTTCAGTTATATCCATTTTCTATGCATTAACCTCCCTCAAGTAACTTTCAAGCATATCTTAAGGGCTGCAAACTCAAACGCAGACAGCCTTGCTAAGGAAGGAGTTCACAATTCCTTTCCTGCCATCCACTTTTTCAACCAAGTACGCTAGTTCTTCTCTTGCCCAATCCTCTTTCTATTATCTCACCCTCTTTCGCCTTCTCTCCTCTTGTTTTCTCTCCTCTATCTTGCTCCCCTTCTCATCTTCTCGAATCTTCGTATTCCACAAAAAAAAGGAAAAAAGGAGGTGGGAAGAAAAAAAAAAAGAAGAAGAAGAAACTGAAGTTTTTTAAAAAATAAAACAGAAGAGAAAAAAAAAGAAAAGAAAGAAAAACAAATTCATATGCTTTTATTTCTGCTGTTGACAGCCTTTGCTTCTATACTCACTTTTTTCCCTCTTCTGACTTCTCCTCTTCTCCTCCCCCACTCTTTCTCCTTTATCATCAATCCCTCTGCTCTTTAACCTCTCTCTCGCTCTCTCTCTGTCTCTCTCTCTATTCTCCTCGCGCCTTAACCTCGCACTCTCTCTTGCTTTACCTGCTCTTTACTCTCCTGAACCCTCTATTCTTATACTTCCTTCCATCTCTCTTATTTATCCTCTATCCACCTTTTGTCTTAAGTTTTTCTCTTTCCACCACCCTCTGCTCTCTATTCTTGACACTAGTCTCACTCTTTCAGAAAACCCCCACCCTTCTTTTCTCACTCTAACTCTCCCTTCATTATTGTTCTCCCTTCTAGTTTCCATCACATCTTGGCACCTTGGGTTTCTTTCTAGCCCATCTCACATTGTAGTAGAGGTCAGAGGGACAGTTCGTGTCATATACTCTCTTCTTTCTACTTGCCCCTGTTAGCATGGGTTGAAGGGGCAACTCACGCGCATCTTTTGGCGACAGAATACAATCCAACTTGGTGATGTCTGTCCCGGTAGCAGGGATCTCCTACTGGCCTCTGGCAACATGGGTCGAAGGAGCAGCCCGCACTCATATTTTGGTGACTGTTTACAATCCAACTAGGTGGACATACTTTGCGGATATTCAAGATCAGTGCCTTCCATATTTTGTTGACAATTTTAGGTTTTGAGCTTTTGGTGAATATGTATTTTATTTCTTCCTCTCTAGTTTTGCCTCTTCTCTACCTTCTCTCTTGTATTCTGAGCACCCATCTTGTGGGTTGCCAATTTTTACCACTTCAGTGGCAATGTAACTACAATTTCTTTATACAAGTCAAATAGTCGCAAAAAAAAAAAAAATAGCCAAGTTATTAGACATTATTCTCATGTGACAATAACGAGGACTAGTGACCCAATGGGTCAAGTGAGTGACTCTATCTTTGCCCATGACTCCTTGAATATGTTGAGGAAGTAATCCTAGATCTTGTTTTTAGAGGGATAAT